ATTATTAACAAGAGGAGTAACATATACTGGTGCCCTTTCCATGCAGTAACACTGCAAGTACCTGAGGACAGAACAAGGTGCAAACCTGAGAGATTAAAAATTGGAATCGTGTGCTGGTTTGTGTAGAGACATTTTAGATGAGAGCCACTGGACAGAAAGTCTCACAGGAAAGTGAATGAATATGGTACAGAAATCTTCATAGGTCGGTGGTGTTGGAGCAAAGTTGTAGCCATGATGGTCTAGGAATCATATGAGAGGCAAGGATTTTAGTGAGTGAAATCTTTTATTGGAACAACTACGTGGTTGGGATAAAATCAGACAAGCTTTTGAATAGAAGGCACTTCAAAAACACCACTTCACTTTAGGGAGAATTAAACCCCCATGTCGTGTACACACCCTTACCTGCCTCTTTGATGGCGGGGAGGGGAGAGCAAGCTGCTGGCGGACTGAGTGGTCCGTGAGCTATGGGGAGGGGGGCTGGTGCTTCCCTCTGTGACAGCAGTGGCGCCCCCCAGGAGGCACCAGCCCACAGGCACCCGGCTCGGGCAGTCCTGGGGGGCGCCGCAGCCGCAGAGGGAAGCACCAGGCCCCTATGCAGCTCAGACAGGCAGGCAGGTTCCAAGTGGGCAGAAGATCAGGCTTGCTGCTTTTTTCCCCCACTTCAGTGGAGCCTGCCTTCCTGGGCTGCTGCCAAGCTGCCTGCAGGGGCTTCTTGCACAGCCCTCGAGCTGCACGGGGCCTGTTGCTTCCCTCTGCGGTTTGGAGGTACTTTAGTTTGTTGCATCCCAAAGTCATTTAAGATGCATTACACCGCCAAGCATGCAAACAGCAGTGCAATTAATGCAGTGCAAAAGGGCACTTAAGCCACTTTAAAGTGTCATGTATAAATGCTCAAAGGTATCAAATCAAACTGCTGGTTGTTTTTTTTTTTTTTTTTTTAACTACTTGGTGGGAAAATAGCTTAAATTAATGTGATTCACATTCAGTTCCTGGCATACATTTCCCCTTTCCCAGCTCTTGGTCTTAAATCGGAAGTTTCATTTGAATGAGCTACAGATATTTTTATTTTCTAAAAAGCAAATATTGTACACTACTAAAAACTTGTTTCTGTATGCAACAGAATGAAGGCATTCAACAGCTTGTCTAACTTTATCCTAACTATGCAGTTGGCCCAATAAAAGGTATCACCGCAAAAATACTTTCCTCTGTAATACAGAAACAAAATTTTAGGATTGTGCAATATTTGTTTAAAAAATATATATATATCTGAAACTCATTCAAATGAAACTTCCCGTTTAGGACTAGGAACTAGAAAAGAGTAAATGTATACCAGAAACAGAATATGAACTTGAATAGCACTGATTAAAGCCACTTTACCCACTATACAGTTAAAAATAAAGTGTTTGATTTGACTGGCTTTTATCTAGCCAATTATTATCATTAGATTAATAAGGAAGAGAAAAATAGTAGTGCTGTACGAAGCTTTGGGTGGTGATACGATTTAGAGGAGATTCGGCTCAATTCGGTGGCTGAATCTCTGAATCCAGATTGAATCAGGGGACCAATTAAAAGGTCCGAATCAATTCAAAGCACTCTGAATCTTCAGAAAAGATTTGGAGAGCTTTGATGATTCGGACAGTCCCCGGTGGCTGCAGCAGGGAGCTGCAGTCAGACTCCAAGCAGGTAAGTACTAGGGATGGGGGAGGGGGAACTGGGGGAG